CCCCAGCCAATCAGTGCAGGAGGAGTGGGAAAATGAAGGAGTAAACAACTTATGGCGGGAAAACAGCTCTGGGCGAGCCTGGGCAAGCCCAGGCTATACAGGAAAATGGGGTTAATACAATCATATGAGGAAAACGTTTTAAACTGTTTAAAACTGGGTCTAAATGAGCAAGTGCATAAGATGGAATCCCTTCACGCACCATAAATTTCTCTCCAGGCTTTAAAACGTTCCCAGTCAGACTCCAGCTCCTCAGCATCTCCCCCTTTTTCGTTTTCTTGATAGAAGGACAAAAATATTTTACTCGGAATGAGGCTTTTGCAGGCAGCTATGACACAACAAAACGTTAGTAACAACATAAAAAGGGTCATCAAGACTCCGAAACACATTAAAAGTATTTGTTTAGACCAGTTGGGTAAACTAGGGGAACCCAATTTATCAAATAGATCATCTGTGGATATCTTAGGGGAAAATTTAATTTCATTGATAAGGTCACGCAAGATTTTAATGCTTTGGAAAATTGATTCAGAGTGATCGGAAAAATTTAGGCAACACATCCCCTCAAAATCCTGGCACCCATGGCCGTGGGCCAGTAACAGGAAGTCTATGGTGGCCCTGTTTTGAAGGGACACTTCTTTCAATTTTTGAGTGCCTTTAACCAGGCCTTCTAGGGCGATGCTGGTTGCATTGGCCTCTTTTGTGAGCCAGCACCCCATGTGCGTCAGGGTGTTGAGGGCATGCGAGGTTCTGATCCCTGCAATGATAAAAGAGCTGAAATAATTTCCCACGGTTGACCACAACTCAGTATTAGGATCACAATCCTCCGGAATTTTGGAGATTGGAAGAACTCCCATTGGAGGATGCAAAGCATCAGGTGGAATAACAGCAACCTTGGATGAGGCTGGAGAATCTCCTTTCACCCACTTAAGGGGAGACTGGAGGGTAGGGTAGCTGAGGGTATCTTTTCCATATGACTCGATAACTTGTCTGCTACCTAGCCTCCAGTCTCTTTTTGGAGGAGAATGTGTTATCGTGGGCCTTTTAGTAGTGGTTAATTGCCACAACCCGCGGGGAAAAGGGAATGGGGACGCAGCATTGCAATTAGGGTCGGGACACAGTTGAGGTGAAGGAAGCAATGCTGACTTTATTAGAACAAGCAGGGACTTATATAGGGTTGGAATAGGGGCTGGACTCAGGATAGGGGAGGAGCAAAGGATTGACAACTCAGGGACTCTTGGGATAGGGGAACAGGGTAGAGATGGGCGGAGTCTGGGTGTCTCCAGGAGAATGGGCCAATCGGAGCTACCTCTGCACTGCACCAAACAGAAACCAATCACAGGCAGAGGAGCAGGAAAACAGGGGAGAACAACAGGTTTTGGCGGGAAAACTGTGAGGGAAGGAGGAGACAATATGGAGGATATGATTTTTAAAACAACAAGCTGGGGTACATACAACACTATAACAGTACAACAATAAACTGGGGAAAACTGGGGAAAAGCTGTCAGTCCAATGGTTGTCACATCCGGTAAATAAACGTCTTTTCTAGTGTATTAGTGTCCATTCCGGTGTAGATCAGTCACTTCAGGGGTTATAGATCTGTCTCCATGCCTGGTATTTCTGCCAGTTGCTTTCTTCTTCCCCAACAGTTAATCTTTTAGGGGTCATGTAAAGACTTTGTGGCTGGGGGGTAAGAGGTCTTGCCTCCGGCCCCACTGCCAGGTACTTCACTCTCAATGTATCATTAAGGATGGGGTTTTGCATACAAAGCATTCCGAAGTCTCTCTTGTGGCGAATCAATGAGGTGGGTTTTTCATTGATTAACCCAAATTTGTGTAGGTGGAATAGGGTGACCTGGCTGATGGCACAGGGTCCTCCAATAGGATAGGATGGGATACCAGCCCACGCTCTCTCGCCACAGATTAGGAATCTTCCCTGGGGCAGGGCACTGGGTTTGAAGCCTACTGACTCTGTTGTGATTATTTCAAGCGCAGTGCCATTGCACCACAGGGAGGCATCCTGATATATTTTCTTAAAGGGAGTAACATTGTTCTTCTTTATGCAAGATGTAGACCGAGATACGAACTTAAAACACTGATCGGTAATAACAGAACCTAAGATCTCAAATTCAGCGGGGTCATCCTCACCATAAGAAAGTGATTCAAAATAATTTCTGAAATCGTCACTAAGGGGTAAACCAACTAAACACATCTGAAATAAATTATTAATATTATTAACTGAAAGACAGATAGTGTCATTATTTGTTTCTTGTGCCAACTTCACCCAAACATTTTCGGGCTGTTTTCGGGCTGTTGGTACATCCAGATGGGAATGGCTGATGAGGTCTCCAATGTTGAAAGGATCACTCCGAAACTGAGGAAGGTGGTGAAGGCCTAGATGGTTTGCATGATGTTTCTCTGAAGACCTTCATGCACTTTGCAGGAACCCACCTCAGTCCTGTATCAGTGGAGATACAGGTGTGTCCCTTCCCCAAAGTGATGAGGGGAAAGGGACCCGTCCACTTGTCAGTTAGTAGGTCTTTGTGAAGTATTTTGGCCTTCCTTATGTTCTGTTGGTTTTCTGATCGGAAGTGCCTCCTTATAGGGCTTCTACTTGTGGGCATGTCAGGTCCCTGCAATTATTTTAGAAATTTAGAACATACATGACTTTCTCTAGTCTTTCTTGGGGAGCCAGACCCATACTCCCCCTTTTTTGTTTTCTTAGTAGATTTTTTTATGTTTTGATGGGCCCTTTCCACTATACCCTGCCCTGTGGGGTTATGAGGAATTCCAGTGGTATGGTGGATACCCCAGCTATTAAAAAATGCTTTGGTTTCTTTCGATACATATGAGGGCCCGTTATCTGTTTTGACCTGTTTTGGGACCCCCATTCTTGCAAACGCAGACAAAAAATGCTTCTTGACATCTCGATTTCTCTCACCAGAATGCATGGTGGCTACTATCATTTTGGAGAATGTGTCAATTGACACATGTTCATATCTTACTTTCCCAAATTTGGGCACGTGTCACATCCAATTGCCAAATTTCTAGTGGCTCCAACCCTCTGGGGTTAGTTCCTTCGGGTTTAAGTGGGGCCACTGCTTGGCAATCAGGGCAGGTTTTTAAAATCTCCTTTGCCTGATTTAATTTCAGATTAAATTGTTCTTGTAGTGATTGACCATTTTGGTGGAAAAACTCATGAGAAAATCTGGCTTGCTGGAATAAATTTGGTACTGGCACCATACCTGCCAGCTGATCTGCAATCTGGTTTCCCTCCGCCACAGGACCTGGTAGAGCAGTGTGGGACCAGATATGTATAATGTAATATCCAAATTTCCTGTTTTGAATCAAAAACAATAGCTTGTCTAGCAAATCAAACAGAAGCTGATTAGAAACATCTTTTAAATTCTCTTTACTATGCCCACCACATAGGCTGAATCAGATACAATATTTGTCACTTTGTTTTGAAAGATCTCGAAAGCACGTACAACTGCTGAAAGTTCCACAGTCTGAGGTGAACCTTGCACTTTATGGATATCTTGTCGCCAATTGTCATCCTGTTTCCAGACGATGACTGCATCTCCAGTCCTACCGGAGCCATTCGTGAATATCTTCTTTGCTTCTCTAATTGGAATCTCGGATTGCATAATTTCTAATTTGAATGGAATTTGGGCCAATCTCTGAACAAACTGACATGCCAGGAGGTGAAACTTCACCTCTTCCGGGTATCCACCAATGGCAATTTGGAAATCAACAGAGGGTCTCAGTAGTTGCCCGATTTGTTCAGAGGTTAATGGGAGGTAAACATAATGTGGTTCCCTTCTGTTAAGCTCTAAACACCTCATATGTCCTTTGAAGACTAATTTGCCAATCATTTTACCCAGGGTGGAACTGGTGGGGGAGGAACAACCATTCCCACAAGTAGAAGTCCTTACTATCGATTGAAAATTGGCCCAAGATGGCTAATGGCTGTTTTTCTTCCCTTACAATTACCAAGGAGGATGGCAGTCCCTCCATCCTCCGACTCACTTGTCTTTCCGATATTTTCTTTTCAACCATATGGAGGGCATCTTCTGCCTCCTTTGTAACAGACCTGAGGGAGGACAGATCTGCATGTCCTTTCAAAAGCTCAAATAGGGGATGTAAATCACTGGTTGTGATCCCCAGTACAGGGCGTATCCAACTTATAGCTCCTAGTAGCTTCTGGAGGTCATTCAAATTTCAGACATTTTTGTCAATGGTAACTGTTTGCGGTCTGACACTTTTTTGGTTAATTTGGAGTCCGAGGTACCTCCATGGTGCTTCCTTTTGTACCTTTTCTGGGGAAATTTCTAGACCATGTGAATTTAGAGTAAAAACAACCAAATCTAAAGTCTTTTTGACAGCCAGTTCTGTCTCCGCGCAGATCAAAACATTGTCCATATAATGGAAGATGACTGACTTTGTGAATTTCTGCCTAATTGGGGATAAAATTTTTGCAACAAACATTTGACAAAGCGTTGGCAAATTCTTCATCCCCTGGGGAAGCACTTTCCACTGGAACGTGCAGTGAGGTTCACAAGCATTGATTGCTGGGACGGAAAACGCAAATTTCACCAAATTGGCCGAATTGAGAAAAATATGAAAGAAGCAGTCCTTTATATCGACAACCATCATGGGCCATTCAGCAGGTAGCATAGATGGAGATGGCATACCTTGCTGAAGGGCTCCCATGGCTTCCAGAACTTCATTCACTTTGTGCAGGTCCTGGAGAGATGTCCAGAATCCGAGGATTTTTGGAGGACAAACACTGGAGTGTTCCAGGGACTGGTGGAAGACTCCAGGTGTCCTTTGGCCAATTCCTGATCTACCAATTTGTTTAAAATTTGCAGGTTTTGGATTGGTAGGAGCCACTGATCCACCCAGACTGGAACTTCAGTCTTCCATGTCAGTCTGGGCAGCTGCACTTGCTCAGTGACCCCCCCTAAAAAATTGTCTCTATTCCGAGATGCCACTGCTCCATGGCATCCTGTCCCCATAGGGTTACTGGAATGTTAAGTATGAATGGTTTGAGAGATGCAGGTCTGGCCTCTGGCCCGTATATGCTGACAGTTTTGGTACTTCTGGCTGGCTGTTGTGATCCACCCACCCCGCTGACCCTTATGTCGGTTGACTGTGCTGGCCAGCTGGGAGGCCAATCTTGGGAGGTGACGCTAGTAACGTCGGCCCCTGTATCTAACAATCCTATAATGCTAACTTTTTGTGGTTTCCTGGGTTCTGGAAAATAAACAGAGCATGTCAAGAACACTCTGAAAGATTTGACAGCAGTCATCCAATTTGCCTGTATTGGGTCGCCACACCTGATCTCCTCATCCTCGGACATAATGCTGACCAAAGCATCTGTGGAGACCATTTTGGCGACCGGAAAATGATCCTCCTACTCTACAGGTGGTAAAACAACAGAAATACAAATACTGATGTTATTATTTGTGAGTCCGGTCAACAGGGTAGGTGTCATTACAATTCCCCTCTCAAGCGCTGTGAAATGTGAAACAATTAGGTATACTTGGTCTGGTTGAACTTCAGAGGAGGGGTAAACCTCTATGAGTTGTTGAGTGGATTTGAGCTGGAGTGCAGGAGGCACAATGGTTAATATAATCCAGTCTAAGGGTGGTGGTCGTTCCTTAACTACTGGGAAGGCTAGCTGCGTAGGATGGAGCATAACTGAGGGGATTCTTGTATCTTCGCACCCCCCCGAGCGCTCTGCTTCCCGTTTCCCTGATGTTCACAGTGACATTCCCTAAGGTCAGGCAGCAAATTAAAGTTTACTTTCCATCTTAAATCGGGGGATTTTTTTGGAGGGAGGAACTTGCCATTGATGTTAGCAATAGATCGACAATAGCGAGCCCAATGGCGACCCTTCTCACACCTTTGGCATAACGTCTTTGGGGGGTCAGGTTTCATGGCCAGTTCAGGGCAGTGTTTTTTCATGTGGCCCTTCTGGCCACAATTAAAACGTGTTTGCAGTCAAGTTAGAGCAACAGCGAGAAATCAGGCCTTATGAGATCCAGACCCCACATTCTTGCACGCCTCTATCATATCAAGTAATGTGGGGTCCTTTAACATTTTAAGTGCCTGTTGGCAGTCCTCATTTGCTTTTTCATACACCAATTTATTAAATAGAATATCTTGACTTTCTTTCTGCTGAACCTGGCATGCAATCGCTTCTTTTAATCTTGTGATGAAATCTATAAATGGTTCCTTAGGCCCCTGATTTGTTAGAGTAAAGGATGGTGTCTGAATATACACATCGACTGCCTTCTTTAATGCTTCAACTGCCAACTCCCTGGTTATGTCTAGGTATTTTATGTCTATGCGTGCCTGATCCTGCCTACTGGTATAATTGCCCTTGCCATATAACATATCTATTGCACTCTGTATCTGGATCCCTCGCCTTTCCATCTTTTCGTTTACATATTTGGCAACAAGCTTCTTCTACTCTGCTTCAAAAACTGATGACTGGACAGTGGATAATAGGCCATTGACCACTGCTCGAGTATCATAAGGTATCAAATGATAAGCTAGGAAGAAAGACTCAAGGAGTCCCACTGTGAACGGGGCTCCGAGGCCATATTCGATAATTGCTTTTTTGATATGCTTTAACATAGGGTAGGATATTGGCCTCCATTCTGGGGCACGGCCTTCTTCTAAATAAATGGGGAAAGCCTTCAGGAATTTGGCATCATTAGCCTGTGCCACTTTGGCCCTGAAGGCCTTCCAAATGTCCGGTTGTGGTGAGTGACTAATAAGTATGTGTTGTCCGTCTAAGGCCTGTGTGTGGTGGGTGCTGGAGGCCTGGGTGGCATAGGCCTCATGGGCGCTGCCATGTTCCCAGATGTTGACACTGGAACTAGGCCTGACCCTGCCCCTCTTTCCCCTTTGGCCTCGGAAGGGCGATGACTCCGGGAAAGAGGCGGAGCTGGCGGGAGAGGGTATGCACAGAGGCATGTCAGTGGGTGGATTGGTGATGTAAACGGGTGGAGGCAGAGGCGGCCTAGGGGGTGGAACTGGAGGTGGAGCTGGTGGGACCCGCCTAAGCTTCTCCCATGCAGATTTTTCCTGCATGGTCCTTTCCCGCCTTCGCCGCTTGTGCACTTTGGTTTCACGCACGCGCGAACGTCCTCCCCCATCACCGATGCCATTTTGTGGAAACCGCCAAAATGTTGCGCCTTCTTCATCCCTCTCGCCATTTTGGGACTTTCGGGGCTTGTCCTTTTCTGGGGATTTTGTCTTGCAGACTAACGATTTTGGCTTGGATTTTTTATGTTTCGATGTGTTTTCTTGGAGACTCTCATTCGAGTTCATCTTTTGGTGCTGTAGCACCATCAGAACGAGTCTCCAGGCAATTAGTGCTTCTTTAGCATTTCGGTCACCCCTTTTGTTTGCTTTCCAAATGTGATATCCAATTTTCTCCCAGTCTTCAATTGATGTATTGTCAGAGATTATCTCCCCCTTGTGTTCAAGCCATTTGCCTAATGCTTTTGCTGACTTTTTATCCAAGGGGTGACCATGTTCGATAATAAAATCTTTAAGTTTTCTGTATACAAATTTCTGAGAGGTCGACAGCCAGAGTCCTATTATGGTGTTATGCTGACTTTTGGTAATCTGTTGTTGATGTTAAAGTTCCTCTCTCGTGGGGACTGGGAGATGGGAGAGGGAGTAGGGATGTCCCTGGCAGCTCACCTGTCCAGTGTGAAGACTCGCGCTGACCTGATGGTCCACAGTCTGCAGTTCAGCCGAGGAGGACTGGTAGGGTGATCACCTCTCCAGGTGCCACCTGAGCCTCGGTGAGCACAAGGGAGTTCCTTTAATATAAAGGATCTTCTACCTTGCCCCACGACCTGGGTGCCATATGCCACGGTCTGGTGGGTGAGGGAATGGGACTGCAACACTGCACAAAGGGGTCCAACTAGGTAGAAGGTCGGGGTGCAATGGCTACTTTATTGAGGTAGAGCAGGGACTTATATAGGGTCTGGTATAGGAGGGTTTGGTAACAGGGTAGGAGCATGGGATTGACATTCCAGGGCATAACAGGATAGGAGAACGCAGGAAGGGAGGAGGACCTTGGAAGGAGTTGGGCATTAGGGATGAATGGGGAGTCACTCCACACTGCAGCACTCCCCAGCCAATCAGTGCAGGAGGAGTGGGAAAATGAAGGAGTAAACAACTTATAGCAGGAAAACAGCTCTGGGCGAGCCTGGGCAAGCCCAGGCTATACAGGAAAATGGGGTTAATACAATCATATGAGAAAAACGTTTTAAACTATGTTTAAAACTGGGTCTAAATGAGCAAGTGCATAAGATGGAGTCCCTTC